GATTATTTACTTTTTTCTTTCAGGAGTTTTTATCTTTAGAACCGATCGATCTTTTATGCTTCAAACGAGCTTTAGATTCATTTCTTACAACACTAATAAATTGTACTTCTAGGACATCAATTCTAATAGGAGTATTCTCGGTTGAGACATGAATTTTAGTTACTCTTTTTGGATATGAGAATGCATATAACGAGTTGGCTTGTAATATTTTGTAAATGAATTATCTTTTGAACTTCTAGTTTATATTGTTTTGTACGAAGATCAAGATGATGAAAGATAGAGTACACAATATAATCTTTTTTTTTCAATATTCACAACTCCTTAATTTACTTATTCTCTACCTCTAATGTTGGAAAAACTTGTTTTATCAAAATAACAATCGACAAATCAAAGTTGTAAAAATATCTAATATTAATGGTTCAAGAAATAAATTATTGAAGTGGATTCATATCCAACATATATTTTCAATCTATTTTAAGGGTCTATTTTAGTTCATTGTAGAGGAATAATAGGGACATATGCTACATAACTAAAAATTCTTAGATGAGAAATATTTGGTTCATAACCATAAACAAATGAAAGGAAGGAGAATTTTTAATGACTTGTGAATCTAATACGAATAAGTGTGATTATATGTATGATTACATATCCCAAAACATAAATAAAGAGTTTTGTTTTCATAAGTAATGGTCTAACTATCAATTAGAGCCTTTTGATAAATGATTATACTAAACCATTCCGAATATGAACATGAACAATAAGCTATTCAACCTATATTTTAATAACCAAGCAATAATTATTTAATGCTTGAGAGGTAAATTCATTAGCATTGTCAAGGCAAATAACTTTAATTGTAAAATCTTGAAATTGTGCTTCATGATTGAATTATTTGAGCTAACAACATTAAAATTACCAATTTTCGAGTAGATAATAAGCATACATATGACAATCTTATGGTTGCATCTATTAAAATTGTAAAATATCTAGATAGTTCAACTAGTGGATAAATTGATCCACATAGATCACCTTCAATACATTTAAAAATACCGAAGATTCAATCTTAATTTTATTGTAAATTGATATTATATTCATGATTAAAACGATCAGACCACAATCGTTTAATCATTTTATTATTATCACCCAACAATCATGTTGTTATTAAAGATTAATTGTACTCGTTTTCTCTTAAATGAATGTACGTGCTCTAAACTATTACTATAAGAAAAACAAACATTAATTAAAATTATGGGAAAACGTCAAAGTGATATTTTGGTTCCCCGCTGGAAGTGGAAAACTATAAGAATCAGAGAGGACGCAATTTTGAAAAATATATATTTATTTGCTTATTTGTATTTGTAGTATGATCTTCTAAATATTTGCATGTGTGGTTAACTTAATTTAAACTTTATTTAAGTATTATGCATTTGAGCATATAAATATTTCAAGATTCATATTAAAATAAGCAAAAAAATGTATATAATTTTTTAAAGGTCTTTGAAAAAATTTAGGACCATTCCAAATTATTTTTTTATTTTTTATAATTTTGTAAATATTTAATATTTAATAAAAAAATTTAAAATACTTCCCAATAAAAAAATTGAAATTATTTTTTAAAATAGATTGGATTTTTATTAATACATGTGAAAATTTTCACTTCAAGATACTAAATATTAAAGTTTTTAAAAGGGTTTTTGATTAATGATAATGGGCAATTAATAAAGCACTATAAAAAGGACTAAGTAGTAACATATAATTAAAATGAAAAATATAATTGAAGGTTTTTAAAATTAAGAAATTAAGTTACATATACTTGTTGGGTTTTCCTCCTAATTGAAGAATGACCCAAATGTTTGCCTACATAAGTCCAATTTTAAAGCCTATATGGAGAAATATTTTTTTAATCATTTGAAGGGTAATTTAGGTATTTTCTTAATTTTTTTTTTTTTTTAAATTTTGAGATCAGATAAGGGAAGAAAGTAGAGAGAGAGAGAAAAAAGAAGAGAAAGCAAGCAACTTTAGAGAGAAAGAGGAAGAAAGTTTAAGCACGGATCAATTCGATAGAATTGAGCTTTTGGATTCGTTAATCGTTAGATCGAGCTTAAATTTGGTGGACACATTCGGGAGAGAAAGACGCACATTCCGAATGGTGAAAATCTAATTTTGAGTCTTAGAGAGTGAGATATGATGCTCACAGCAGTTGCTGTTTTCTAGTGAGATTTGAATTTAGTTTCTTTTCTTTTCTTTGTATATCATCTATTAATGAAGTTTGTAAAGATTGTGTAACCGTTGATGCTTGTGGTTGATGTTTTTCTCTAATTTAATCTTAAGAAGACTCCTAGTATTATTTATCATTGTTGATGGTGAAAATTTTTGTGGATTCCAATCTCGTAGTGTTTCCTTCTTAAATTGAAGATGTATTTTTACGTAAAATTTATGTGTTATTTATATGATTGGTATTCTATTTTTAAAATTATTAATTATTTATTTTATCTTGAATATTTGTTTACAGTCCTTATTTAATTATTCAGATAAAGTAAAAAGATTCTGTTGTGTCATTTGTGTTTATTTGCTTTAAGAGTACTGACTTGAAAACTCATTGACGAAAGAATAATTTACTCAACAATTTTTGCCCATGTCATCTAAACGAAGCACTGTTTACTACGAATCTATTCCAATATTCTTTTGCTGCAAAGAAAGAACAATTGGTAGACGGTACTTGTGGGGTCTTTCATTTACTATTTACACCATAGCCAGACGTGAAAAAGAAGCTAGGATGAACAGATATTTTGAAAGAGGAAATATTTTCAAATTCCTTCAGGTGAGCTTGGGAAGTAAATTGTCCTCTAGTTAGTGAAAATTCGTGGTGCAAAGAAAATTCTGAAGAATCTTTATTCTTAATTCAAATCACTAACTTTATATTTCATGTCCTGCAATTGCGATAGAGTTGTTAAAAAAAAAAAATCATCACTAATGTACATCGACTAATCAAAATTTGCTAAACGTAGAATATAGAAAATGCATGACATTAGTAGCTTTGGAATTATATCGTTGGGAAATTGAAATAGTGACAATCGTTTATTTATTTAGTTTATTATTATTTATCATGATCAGTTTTGCTTTCTTATTGCGTGTAATTTAGTAGGATACAGGGTATATTATAAAATATATTAATATTATTCCTACGCATATATATGTTATTGCATTTTAAATAATATTAACTAAGTGATGATTTTTTTTTTTACACATATTTAAGGTTTTTAGTAAAAATTATTTATTAAGATTTGAATCCATAATCTTTTATAAAAAATCACTACTGTTAGACTATAAACTCTTTAATTTGAAAAGCTTAATAATTGTGATTATTAACAAGTATTGGTGTAGTTAAATAAGCGTGCTTGGGTTAGTCTCTAACTTTTTAGCATGTCCATGGATTTATTTATTTAGTAACTAGATAGCAAAAAAATTATTATTATTGAACTATAAACTCTTGAATTTGAAAGGCCTAATAATTATGATTATTAACAAGTATTTGTGTAGTTAAATACGCATGTACGTGGGTTTGTCTCCAACTTTCTAGCATATCCGTGGATTTATTTATTTAGTAACTAGATAGCACGTAGCCATTGCTATTTAATTCTCTTTTCTCGTGCAATCTGTTTTTGCCTTGAAGTATTATATTTTAATTAGCTGACAAGTTAATTATTTGGTGCCATCTTAATTAGGATGCAGAATTCCAGGGACTCTACATTTTAATCCAATATAAAGCGCACGAGCCTTCCATAATGAACAAAACAGAAAAAAGTGAATTCTTTTTTAGTCCCTGTTTTTGAATGAAATTACAGTATGGTGCTTTAGTATTGAAAATCTATAACTTTAATTCTTTAACTTTTGTTGACCATAGTGTTATTACGACATTTATCAAACCCTAGTCTAAGTCTTTAGTTACGCTTTGATAGTTTAAATTTACGTTAAGGGATTCAGTTACAAGTTTTTCAAATATCAAATGCTAAGTTATAATCATGTTTCAAACCCTAGGCACAATAGATTAATTTATTGCCGCGATTATTTCGGAAATCATCGTTCCCTTGTTCCTTCAATTAGCACTCCTTTTAAGCAAACCCAAGTACATTATTCCTTTCATTTCACTGAAACATCTAAACCATAGCATTTATTGACCGGTTCAATAACTTAACATTATGCCGACAACTTTCAGATCACATCATTCCCTTCCTTTCACCGAAAAGCTATTATATTTAAAAGGCAATTACAACTAGCGACAATTAACGTGGCAGTAGATTGATTAGCTTAATTCCTTGATGCCAAATTAATGTCAGATCTCTGGCACCTTCCTTGTCACAAGGTGGGAGAATTTGGAGACATAATGAAATGAAATGCAATCAAGGTAATATATAAAAATCAGGTTAGCTAAGAAACATTAAGTGCAAAACCCTGGTTGTGTGCTTAAGTATAATCTTTGTAATCACATGATATGCGAAATACTACTACCAAAATCTTCTATATCAGATATGTTGACTTCAATGAAAGTAAAATATCTTGAAGTGTAGTTCAAATAAAGAAGAGAGAGAGAGAGAGAGAGGCCAGAGAAAGCAAAAACTCAGGCTTTTGCAACTTCTGTTCTTATAAAGAAGCTCATCTTAATTACAGCTTTTCTACTTAATTTCGATATGTCTAATAATTAATAAACTTGCATCAATGGAAGTTAAAAGAAAAGAAAAGAAAAAAATCAAAAACAGAAAAGATCATTAACAAGAAAGGGAGAAATAGTAAGAGATCCCTCTTGGTAACCTCACCTCTACAACAACTTACATTCCCAAAGCTCCCTGTCCAATGGCAAAATCATAATATAACCACATAAAAGCGCCCACCTCTGTAACAAGCCAATGGGAGCTACAGTTACCAAAATAGTAACATGGCAGAAGAGAAGGTCATTTCCTTTCATTGTATTTGCCTTTTGTACTCTCGTTTTTTTTTTTTTTCTTTTAAGGCATAAAGAGCGTGTTGCCACACTTGCATCTCCAAGCCTCTGGGTAATACTCTAATGGCACACTCAAACCAGGTTGAATTGGCACGTGAGCTGGTTTACATGGCGAGCACTTGCCACACTTGGATCTACACGAAGGCGGTGAAGAACCTGGTCCACCGAGTCGCTTCTCAGTCAGGACTCGCTGAAATGCCCTTAACTCGCTTCCCTTTTCCCTCTCTTCTCCTCCCTCTTGAAGTACTCCACTACCTGTATATCAAAGCAAACAGGCACCCAATTAGACCATGTTGTCGAAGTTAAGGACTTGGTTAGTGAAGTGATATAATTAGACCTAGTTGGGAGAATGTTGCAGCTGAGGCAGAGAAAAATAAAAGAAAAGAGAAGGCAGTGACTGTTGATAAGTGGTGACGGGGGCGTAGTAGGGCCATCGTGGAGGGTGGAGTTGCTGCAAGTTAGAAACCAAGTGTATGTGTAATTGTGGCCGCGTGGGTATTGTGGGTAGCTATGGAATTTTGAAGCTAAGAAAAGGGGGTGTAAAGAAGCAGAGATTGTGAAGAAAGGATGGTATTATTGCAGAAAAAATTGCGTGTGAGCGTGTGGGAGCGATTAGTCCAAGTCAAAGACATATACCAAAAAGATTAGAGAAAGTGAGAAACATGAGAGAGTTTTGTTTCATTGTTTGGCCAGAGGGAGCGTGTGGAGGTGATAGTGGGGTCTATCAGACCCTGAATGATTGTGACAATAGTATTAGAATCCATGTTACCTTCTTGTATTTACATAAAATGCCACCAATCCGAGGGAAGGTAAATTCATTGTCTGTGGCGTGACGACCCCATGTATTATTACTGGTATTACGGCATTTTTTTTGCCTTCAAATTATTGCATTTTGATAATTTCGTATCAACGTATGAAATTATATAATTGAAATGTTAAAATATAAGAAATTTGATAAATTTGATTTAAATTATTTAATACTTATTATTTCTAATAGTTAATCATCACTTAATCGTTACTTGAATTCATAACTCTTTATTCTTCGTACTATTATCTTTAAGTGTCGTTTGATTATCGAGAATGAAAGTTTCGAAATGAAAATATAAGAATCAGAATGACATTTGTATTCTCATATTATTTTTAGAATATTAATGAGGTATCTCTCACATCATTATCTTTAGGTATTGTTTGGTTATCGGGAATGAAATGTTCGAAATGTGAATGTAGAAATCGAAATGACATTTGCATTCTCATATTGTCTTTAAAATACTAATTATTATCTTTGAAATACCAATGAAGAATCGAAATATAATTTAAATTTTTTAATATCTAATTTTTTATATAAATAAAAATAATAAATAATAAAATAATTGAAACATTAAGATATAAGAAATTGTACAAATTCGATTCAAATTATTCAATACTCGTTATTTCTAACAGTCAATTGTTACTTGAATTCACAACTCTATTTATCTTTGTTATTCTCTCGCACCATTACCATTAGTCAACAAGACTTCCCTCCCTTGCAGCCTCCAACCTACTCAACCTTCACATTGAAGACGTCAACCCTCTCCTCTTCTTTCACCTTAGGCACCACCACCTTCAAAACCCCGTTCTTCATCTATGCTTTAATTTCACCAGTTTTGTAAATTTTTTTAGGCAATTCGATTCTGCTACTGTACCCTCTTCTGCTCTCCTCATCCTTCGATTCTTTTGCACCTTCTCGTTTAATGATTAGAGTGTTTTGTTCCGCAGAGACCTTTAGATCCTCCTTGTCGAGATCGATGCGAAATCAGTCTTGTGCGCGTCCCACCCACGATGGAGTCCAATAGCACGGGAGATAGAGAGGAGTGGGTTGTGTAAGAGCATGTCCGTCGTGTTAAGGATTTGGGATAAACTCCTTGTGGGTGAGAATGGATTAAACAAATCTACAAAATTATAATTAAAATTAAAATTGATTAATCGCTGCCAATCTTGCAATCTCTCTCCTTCACCCCCTTCTCAAACAATCATTCCAACTAAAACCTAACTTTTTAGGAGAGGAATTAAAAGGATAAAAATATATGATTTTTGTTTTAAGTAACGATCAATTGATAATTAATCATTAGAAATAATGAAGATTAAATAATTTAGATCAAATTTATCCAATCACTTTATATTTTGAGATTCAAAGTACATAATTTTATATTGTGAATCTAAAATTGTCAAAATGTAATATTTTAAAGAACAAAAAATGCCATAATACCTAATATTGTTGGTACTACCAATTACCGAATTTAACCAATAATTCACTGTTCAACTTGATTTAATTAGTTAAGCTGGTGTTAGCTACTTTAGTTCCATAAATTCATGAGGGTTGCATCTACTTCTCTATCCTCGAAGGAGGTATATGAGTATGTTGTCCATGTGCTAAATCTTAAAGGTTACATGAAATACACATTTTTTTTAGAAATATACTAGTTCAAGTATAAAGGATCTACTTGATAGTTAATTGAAAAAGAATTTAGTTTTGATATACAACAGCTTGAAAAAAATAATAATAATAAAAAAATAATAAAATATATATATATCGTGATCACATTTTCAATTTTTTAAATATATATGTTAAAAAAATAATTTTTACGTATCTTTCAATTTTTTAATTTGAAAAATTCTCTAAAATATAATTTAAAAAGTAAAAAATTTTTCTAATTTTTTATTGAGAAATGAAAACTAAAATAAGAAGGGGAAAAAAAGATGGACTTAGAAAATAAACAACTTTTTCCATTACTTAATACACCCTTCTGTCCTACTATACAACTCTGAATCCAATAAATTTTTTAATGAATAAGAAAACTTGTCTAATAATTTTTTTTGCATTATAATGCATGATTTAGGTTAAAATCTAATTTGTTTTAAAAAAAAACGAGAGAGATTAATTAAGAGAAAGAAAGAGCTACTGAAAAAAGAAATGATTAAACTAAATTAAATTTAGGCCTCTCTGTCCGAATAAGACAGGGGAGGATCCATCATAATTTTTCTCCAGGATATAGTAAAACATGAAAAATAAGGCTAAAAAGTAATATTTCCATAAGAAGGAGGTGTTCAGATTGATGGCAACAGAACCCGTGTGGTTGCGTACGTGTGTGATAGTGGGGAGTGCTGTCTCGTACGAGAAGAACATCTCAATATCCCAGTTGGCCTCAACCCTCAAGCATCAAGCCTTCTCCCTTCTGCCCTTTATTAAACCATCTCTCTCAGAACACTTTCTTTTTTCTCTCTAGGGAAGATACTGTGGAGAGCACAGTACAGTACATATGGGCTAATAAATACGGGGTGGGGTCCAGGTAGCAGACGTGGGGCCCCCACAAAACCCAACAACATCCCAAAACGTTGTTCTGTTTTTTGATGGCATTATTGTTGTGGTAAAATTATTGAGAAGGTCAGATGAAGCCAGTTTGGATTATAAAGGAACCTACCCCCCATGATCTTCTGTGAGTGCGGGCCTAAACCCACCAGTGGAGTTTTGGTCTTTCTAGCGTCCCTCTCAGCGCACTGATCACTCATCAATGGGGGGGTTTTTAGGTTCGGTAGCATTTAATGCTTAAGGTCAAGGCAGGTCAGGACTTACAAATGACCGGCTGGAAGTCAGGTTTCTGTTTGGGTCTTATAGGGCAATCTTCCAATGTTAAACACCCCTGCTAATCTCTTGTAAAGCGTTGAAGAAAAGAGTAAAAATTGGGAACCGTTGCAAAACATGGGCTCAGTTTAGTTTACTTGTTCTTGCTCTAGGTGGAACGAAAAATTCTGTAATTAGACAATTTAATTTATAGAATACAATCTATAGGCTATATAGTTCATAGGCCTGTTGGCAACTGGAAGTGGGCCTGATGTTCGACTAGAGCAATCCATGACTACAAACCAGGCCTTCTCGTGGACGAACTCGGAGATTATGACTTCAGAACAAGGCTGGTGTTGAACAGTGGACCTACCACCGGGACAAGTATGGCAGCAAGCAACCGTTACTTTTTTAGACATTGGATTAGATACATCGGGTATAGAAAATAGAAAGGGACGCTTCACACTCGGATACTATATAGCATCCATGCTACCATATTGCAAAGGGATTCTGCAAATCCTTTTAGTCTGATTTTTCTGTGTATTTGTACAATTTTGGGCAATAATTGGAAGGAATTTTGTAGGATGTGATTTCCTTTTCATTTTGGGCTTATATAGATGGTGGAGAAATCACCATACAACTTTTTGAATTGCGGGCCTCGTATTAAGGCCGAAATTTACTCGAAATCATCTTGTTATCCATCCTGTTTGATCGCTCTGCTTTCCCATATTTCTAGAGTGCCAGAGCCCAGCAAGTTACACGATTCACATTCACAAGTGACCACAACTTATCAGGAGCTTAACACTGCAAATAATTCTTTGTGTATGTGCCACATGACAATAAGGTTCATTGCCAGAGCCTAGATAGTATATCTTGGTTCAAATTGCGTGATGGTTACAGTTCGTGGTTGGTGATAACTCCATCTGCTATGATCTGTCCATATAGATATTAGGGACTTTGATTTCGATACAAAAGCGATGGGTATTTCTTTGATACTAATTGTAGATCAATAAAGATGATATTCGAATTTGAGAAACTTTTTATTTTTGTGAGAGTATCACTGAACTCTGAATTAATTGATGTTTGAGAATTTACAATAATCTATATGCCCTGTGTGTTTTTTGACAAAAATAAAAGGAAAAAGAAACAGGAGGAGGAGGAAGACAGAGGGCTTGCTGGCAAATTTAATACAGTGACCGAGGCTTAGCATCTGACAGGGCGATCTGGAACCAGCTGATTCCTTTTGCTGCTGACACTGACAAAACAGTCCGTACAAGTCACACCAGAGGACGAAGAAAATTGAGCACTTGTTGGCTAGCGAATCACGGCTTGATTGGCCACAGGTATTTGGTTCATCGATACTCCTATTTTCCAATACTGCAACCTTAGCTGTTAGATTCTGCCCAACCAGTGAACCAGAAGCAAATTTGGTTGGGCCGAAAGCACAATCCTACCTTGCTCAGAAGCCTGTTATTTGAGAGTATTTATAAACTATTTTTTCTAGTTTTGCAAAACGAATTAAATAGTTTTTTTTTTAATTTTTAAAACTAATTAATTAGTCTTTATATTTTTAAATATATTTGTAAATTAATTTTTTTTATTTTTTTATTTTAAAAAATACGTAAATAATATGAAAAAATTATATGAAAACGATATTTTTTAGAACAAAATAATATTAAATTAACCATTATCAATACTAATTAAAGAATTAACTAATTAATATCAATTTATAATTTACTCTGTCATTTGAATCACATATATGTCTCTGATGAACAATTAAACACCGAGTCACCATTATATAAAATGTTAAATATGTGTACTTTTTACCAAAAGAAAAGGCTAAATGTAATTTCATGTTTATATATGTTTTTCTTTTTGAGTTTTTGATTTGGATATGGTAGTGTGAAGTTTTTAGTTGTCACGTGTTTGAAGATAGAGCCCAAATGATGATGTCACATGTGCAGTTATAAATATATTGAAACTACGTAAATAAAAAAAATTACAAATTAGTATACTAAAATAATAAGATTAAAATTTACATACTTAAAAAGAAAAAATTATCAAGTTTATACATCAAATATGTAAAAAAAAAAAAAAAAAAAATTAAAAATTCTAGTTACCATGTGTTTAACAATGAGATCTATAATTTGATACCACGTGTGTAGTTAACAGCCACATCGATATAAACTTCATGAAACTATTCAAATAAAAAAAAATTATAACTTGATATATTCAAATAACAAATATTAAAATTGACTCACTTAAAAAAAAAAAACTAACAACTTTGCACATTAAAAATATAATTAACTTTTTTTATTTCGCAACTTGGATACTTATATTTATAAAAATTTATCATAACGTGCTTATAATTTTAAAAACTAATAATTTTAAAATACGAATTCATCGCGCAATGAAACAGTGAATTGCGTTTGGGTTTTTTAATTATGAAAATGATTTTTTTTTGGGGCGTTACTGAATGCATAGGCTGCTGGTAGGACTTGGTTAATCATAGGAATTAGGAAGATGCCAAACAAGATATTATCGGGGTGTAGATGGTGGTGTGGAAGGGCACCCACAAAACAAACAATAGGCAATGGAATTCTACACATGGCAACAACCAAATAACGGAAAAACCAGAATCATTCAACAAGTCACGACAGAACTCCCTCATCACCATATCTGATATTTGCATCAAACAAACTCAACGGTTTTCTGACTACAATCTGAGGTAGCTCACACACACATTCCAGTTCGATATTCAAGTCAATTACCCAAATGGCTATCGAGGTGAGTTCTTCTAAAAAATGTCAAATTGATCAGAGTTTACTCGGTTATTCTTCTATATATGATCGAAGTTATAGAGTCCTTGTTTTATAACTGAATATGCAGGCGTGGTTCATGGATGAAACTAGTGGAGAAGACCAAAGGCTCCCTCGTCACTGTAACCCAAAAGAGTTCGTTTCCCTTGACTACTTGGCTGGTCAAATCTCTCTACCTCTGTTTCCTTCTTCTGGGTTTTTCTCTCTCTGTTCTTATCACACTAACTCAGGATTGTATTTTTGTTTAAATGCAGAGTTGGGAGTGTTGTACTGGCGCTTGAACCCAGAGAACTACGAGAATGATGAAGAATTGAAGAAGATTAGGGAAGAGAGGGGATACAATTACATGGTATGTCCGATGTGTTTAATTGTTAACCTTAATTTTGTCTTCTCTTATTACATTACATAATTGAGTCAAATAATGAAGAATTTATATACCGTTATGGTTAAGCTTGTTAAATGTTTGATAAGGTTGTACAATCAATAAAAATTCTTTACTGGGGAAATTACCCATCTTTTGTGGAAATCAGCTATATAAGGACTTGATTAAGTTTCCTTCCCAAACCACACCCCCACCCCCCCCCCCTCAACCCATAATCTCACAGAACCTTATTTGAAGATTATTTACTTGGCCTTCTTATCGTTCAAGTTTCTCTGCCACGCACTGCCATCCTGTGTTATGCAAGCACTGGGCATTTAAACAATGCGGACTATACTTGACTTCCATTTTATTCGGGAGTAGTAAGCATCTAATTCATTGCCCTATACTGCCATTTTGCAGGATTTGCTTGATATATGCCCAGAGAAAGTTGCTGACTTCAAGGAGAAGCTGAAGAGCTTCTATACGGAACACATACATGCTGATGAAGAGATACGTTACTGCTTAAAGGGAAGTGCATATTTTGATGTTCGAGACAAGGATGACCGTTGGATACGCATCTGGATCAAGGCAGGCGATCTTATCATTCTGCCTGCAGGAATCTACCATCGATTCACTCTCGACACTGGTGACTATGTTAAGGTAAGGCAGCTTAAGACATACTTGGCACTGGCATTATAAAGTAGGTAATTAGTGACTTCGGAGCATTGGCTGATGGATTCTTCCGTGGTAATAATGTATAGCTGATGAGGTTGTTTGTGGGAGAGCCAGTGTGGACAGCATATAATCGCCCACAGGAAGATCATCCAGCAAGGAAGGAGTATATTCAGAGTATGAGGACTGAGAAGGTTGGTATGGCACTTGAAGCTTATTAAGGTTCATGAGTCCTTATCGGTTTACTATGATGTAATATTCATATTTTTGTTTGATAGCATCTCACCCGTTTATGGGATGAATTAGCCAATATGTATATATATATCATGAAAGTATGCATATGGTGATGGTGGTGGAAAACCCCTGGTATGTATAACAGCAGAGTTGCCTAATTGCATGTCAGGATTTACTCGTCATATCTTTCATGGAAGTTTTCTTTCATGCTAAAGCATAAAATGCCATGTGTGCTGATATCTATCTTTGCATAAGCTTCTATTAATTGCATGGTACGGCATATGCCCTCAGGTATATATTAAATTATCATAAAGTTGGATTTTCACTGCAAGAAAATCGAAAAATAGCAACTGATTTTTCCGTCGCTATATCATCAATATCCGTCGTTATTTAACTTCAACGACGAATTTACGACATTATACTTTCGGTAGTCAAAATGGTCATCACTATTTTCTTAACAATGACAATTTTTTGCTGTTGTAGATTAGAGATAGTTTAGTCGTCGTTAATGTATAGAATTTTTGCCGCTATATCAAAGTAAACGGTTCTCTTGCGGGATTAGTATTTGTCGCAAAATCGTTATTATTGGATTATTTTTATCGCTAACTAGCAATGGAAATGTTGTCGTTAAATCGTACTTGCTAAAATTTCTTACAATCCATCACTATTTAACAATTGTATATGTGTCCGTCGCAAAGAGGTTTAATTTTTGTCGTTAATTCGTTACTAAATGAAGAAATTTTTAATTTTTAATTTTTTATATAAATTAATAGTCGTTTAATGTTAATGATAATAACAAATAATTAACAATAACACATTATTAAAACACAATATATTGTCTAATAAAATTAAAATAATATAAATTGAAATCAAATAAATATATAAATACGTTAAGGAATATGAAAACATTAAAAACCTTTAAACAAAATCTAGTTTTCATCATTATCATCTCTTGTATCATCTTTTGGTCGTTGAGTATTGAGAGGAACGACAAATTCTTGGGTTATAGGGGGTTAGCAAGAGAGACGCGAGTCTACTTGCAAGTCTCATAACAACCCCATCACTATCTTCATCCGACTTTGTAAAGTATTAACTCTGTTTTTGGATGGTAAACTCCATCCCCTTAATCATATCTTCGTACCGGTCGAAACCTCTTGAATATTACCATTAAGATACGCAAAGTGGCAAAGAAGGAGATGACACCGGAATGAGAGTAATATTAGGACGCTTGCAATATGAGATCATACATTCTCTCGCTTCTTCTTGCCTCCAAATATATCTTGATCATTTTGATATTTAGAGACGATGAATCACCCTTCTTAGCGACTATTTTTTTCATTGATCGCAAACGCTCTTACGTCATTGAAATAATTATAATATTAAATCATAAATATATTTTTTTAGATTATATTGATAGATGTATATTTACCAAAAAAAATATCATTATTGTCTAAGATTGTCTATCGATGAATGACCCATCTTTTCACTTGTGAGTGGTCGGCGACACCTCGTAAGGATTTTGGTTACGATCCAATTTATTATACTGAAAAAAATAAACAAAATAATATGACATACAATAAATGCAAAAATTAAGTTATAACACAATGAATAATAGAATTTACCAAACGTTAAACATGCTCGATAAAAAAGATGGACCCTTCCCTATGCCTGGATGGGCTAGCATCGACACCACTTTTCTCGGACATGCGATTCCGAAATGCCTACTAAGATCGGGCATGAAACTTAGTTATGGCCCAATCAGAGTGCCATGCATTCCATACTCGTTTTTTAATAAATGCAAGTATATTAGTGTTTTATTTCGGCTTGTTTAGGATGTCGTTGTACCGCTTTCATATCGGATTCTCCTATACATCTTTAATTAACGCGTCGATGGCCGCATCCCATAAAAAAAATTTGCCTAAATAAAGAAAAAATAATATTAGTACATTTCATATTAAATTAACATTTTAAATGAAATAAAAAAATAATTAATATGTTATCCTAAACTTATTAAGGTAAAAGTCTTTCGTTTTTATGGAGATAGACTTTCATGTGAAGCCGGCGACATCCAATCGCTCTTCAAAAATTACGATGATTTTTGTGAAGCACTTACTTGATAGAACCAAGTCGTCGAACAAAACAAATAAATAACAAATAAGTGAATTAATGATTATAATATAATATATAAAAAGATGAAAGTAATTATCACATGTAAAGTATATTACTTACGGAGTTATTCATAATTCAAACATTACGTTCGATATCGGATCCGGTAGAGTTTTCGAAGTTAAGAAAAGCGTCATGGGACCTTCACGATTGGGGGCATTACCAGCAAGAGCATTACTAGCGAGGGCATTACCCGAGGGGTCACTATTAGCTGGGATGCAAATGTGCCGTGCACCACTATCAAACCCCGAGGCCTCGAAACACTTGCACTAACGAGTGCCACGTCCACATACGACGTCATTATCGGTGGCACGATCACGGGCACTCAATAATTATATAAAAAATCATTAAATTGACTCAAACTTAAATCTAATTTAATTTTAAATAACAAGTACTTAACAAATTGAAATATAAATAAAATTAAAAATAAACAAATTAATCACAATCAACCTAATTAGTTTAACCCTAATTTAAATTATCATAATTAATCTAATTGAAACCTAATTAAATTTAAAATAACAAATAATTAACAATTTCCAATAAAAAAATTAAAAATCAAGCAATCAACAAAAATTAACCTAATTAATTAATTAAATCTATACCAAATTAACCTAATTAATTACAATTCAAACCTAATTAAAATTAAACCCGAATCAAATTAACTTAATTAAATCTAATTCAAACCTAATTAAATTTAAAATAACAAATAATTAACAATTTTCAATATAAATAAAATTAAAAATCAATCAATCAATCAAAATTAACCTAATTAATTAATTAAATCTAAATCAAATTAACCTAATTAATTCTAATTCAAACCAAATTAAAATTAAACCTAAATCAAATTAACTTAAGTAAATCTAATTCAAACCTCATTAAATTTAAAATAACAAATAATTGATAATTTCTAATATAAATAAAATTAAAAATCAATTAATTAATCAAAATTAACCTAATTAATTAATTAATTAAACCTAAATCAAATTAACTTAAGTAAATCTAATTTAAACCTCATTAAATTTAAAATAACAAATAATTAATAATTTCTAATATAAATAAAATTAAAAATCAATTATTTAAGTAAACCTAAATCAAATTAACCTAATTAATTCTAATTCAAATTTAATTAAATTTAAACCTATATCAAATTAACTCTAATTCAAACCTAATTAAATTTAAATAATAATTAATTAACCTAACAATTAACAAAAAACAACAATTTAACAAATTAATAATTAAATATATATAAGATCATAAATCAACCAATTACATTTAAAATTAACCAAACAATAATGATAAATTACTAACTTTTATTAAGAAACAAAAGAGTGAGAGAACTTATCTAATTCGAGGGGCAATGGAAGAGGTCGAGAGGAAGGAAGGAAAAATAAAGGTTTTTAGGAAGAAAAGAGTCCGGAGTAGGTATAGATTAATGAAGAATGGAGTTTTGTGATGGTTTCGGGTAGGGGAAGGACTAATGGCTGGAGGAGGAGAATGGAAAAAGAAGAAAGGAAAGGTGATTTAATTAAGGATTCCCGTTAGCGATGGACATGAACCTCGCCGATTAGTCGCTATTTAGTGACGGACATAAGTGTTTGTCTTAGTTATCCTTAAATAGATGACTTTTTAATTCCCAAAGGCCGTTTATTTTTTAGAATTAACAACGGATACATCGATTGCTAATAGCCAAACATAAAAAATAATGACAAACTTAATAACACTGTTGCTGATTTCCTTAGCAATTGGCTACCAATGCCATTGTTAAAACACCCAAAAAGATTTTGGCACCACAAATAACGATAGACCTTCATCCATCCATTGATAAGCTATAGCCAAACTATCTCTCGTGCCGTTTATAAATCCCACGGATTCTATATGGTCGCTATTTAATGACGAATATAATCCATTGCTAAAGTTTTTCACTAAATCCTAGTTTTGTTTTAGTGTTTCATGCTCGATAAATTTCTTAGATATAAAGTATAGTAGAATTTAGTTCTTGATTGACTTCCTAATTGACCATTATGAGCACTTGAGCGGGGTAGAGAATTAACATTTAAGTTCATTAGAATTTTTAAAATCTTAGATAAAAATTACGATCGGTCGTGGCTTTCTCAAGTGTGACCTTACCGACTTTAATAATGACAAATGTTTGTAATGGTAAGATTGATGTCCGGTATAGGTTGCGACAAATGAGTTAGATGATTTTGAAGCTAGAGGCTTTAGGGGTATCGAGTAAACAAGGTACCAAAGATGTGAAATAAAATATTTGTTTGGTTGGTGGTGTGTCTTACAAGAGATTGGCAAGAAAGAGCTCTAACATTCTTGTTATAACCAAATTTTCCTCATAATTCCCGCAATCACCCTCCACTAAACTTCCCCATGATCAACACATAACCCCTACAACTACCCACCATTCCATGGGTGAATTATTAAGTCTCTTAAATTCTTAGTGATTGATGACGATTTTTTCGAAATGTTAAGAATTAGATTAATAGTTAATAATCGGGTGAAATATTGAGCATCATAAATTCTTAGAAACCGATGACGATTCTCCATCAAATGAAAAGTCACTAACGTTTAAATCGGCTAAAAAATTTAAGTTTAAATAAAAAAATAACTTGACACAAATAGAATACTTTAGGAGATGAATTTATGACTAAACTAAACATGGTATCTTTTTTAAGAAACGAGTGTATTTTGGTGATCCATATCTTCCCAAAATGTAACCAACTCCTTACCTTAGAATTTTTGAACCGAGTGTCTATTTTAAGTTCTTAGTTCCTTTGATACTAAGTGGCGACTCTAAACATATAAATAACTC